GATAATGAATTCACCAGGGAAACAGAAAGGTTGACTGTTTTCTGGTAAATGAATTCACTAGAGAAACAGAAAGGTTGACTGTATTCCGGATAATGAATTCACTAGAGAAACAGACAGATTGACTGTATTCTGGATAATGAATTCACTAGAGAAACAGACAGATTGACTGTATTCTGGATAATGAATTCACTAGAGAAACAGAAAGGTTGACTGTATTCTGGATAATGAATTCACTAGAGAAACAGACAGATTGACTGTATTCTGGATAATGAATTCACTAGAGAAACAGACAGATTGACTGTATTCTGGATAATGAATTCACTAGAGAAACAGAAAGGTTGACTGTATTCTAGATAATGAATCACCAGGCAAACAGAAAGGTTGACTGTATTCTGGATAATGAATTCACCATGGAAACAGAAAGGTTGACTGTATTCTGGATAATGAATTCACCAGGCAAACAGAAAGGTTGACTGTATTCTGGATAATGAATTCACTAGAGAAACAGAAAGGTTGAATGTATTCTGGATAATGAATTCACTAGAGAAACAGAAAAGTTGACTGTATTCTGGATAATGAATTCACTAGAGAAACAGAAAGGTTGAATGTATTCTGGATAATGAATTCACTAGAGAAACAGAAAGGTTGAATGTATTCTGGATAATGAATTCACTAGAGAAACAGAAAAGTTGACTGTATTCTGGATAATGAATTCACTAGAGAAACAGAAAGGTTGACTGTATTCTGGATAATGAATTCACCAGGGAAACAGAAAGGTTGACTGTCTTCTGGATAATGAATTCACCAGGGAAACACAAAGGTTGACTGTTTTCTGGAAAATGAATTCACGAGGGAAACAGAAATGTTGACTGTATTCTGGATAATGAATTCACCAGGCAAACAGAAAGGTGGACTGTATTCTGGATAATGAATTCACTAGAGAAACAGAAAGGTTGACTGTATTCTGGATAATGACTTCACAAGAGAAACAGAAAGGTTGACTGTATTCTCGATAATGAATTAACTAGGCAAACAGAGAGGTTGACTGTATTCTGGATAATGAATTCACCAGGGAACCAGATAGGTTGACTGTATTCTGGATAATGAATTCACCAGGCAAACAAAAAGAATGTTTTTTTAGACATGAAATTAAACACAAACAGGTATATAATGTATAAATCAAGGATTTATTATTTGGTTTGTGAAAATCATACAAATCTTCGACAAGTGGTATACGGAATGTATAAATATATAAGATACAAATTTTCAAATAATACACAATTACTCTATATATATATTTATGTTTATATTTATTATCATTTCTTGGCTCAATCATCTTTATGACACAATGATGCATATATCCACGTACATGTAGTTTGAATTCTTACAACATTTCAAATAATATTGCTATTTGATCTCCAGCTGACTGAAATTGTTTTGCTGGACAGTGTTCTTGACCATTGGATAAGAAGTTAGAGATAATGGAACTACTATATTCATTGTGTACATCCATAAATGCGAAATCTTCAAATTAGGGTAATTCAGTGTTCCAGAATTAAACGAAATACACGATTCAGAACAGCAGATATAAAGGCACGCTGTTGTTAAAACTCAATATACGTGTATAATTCTATACATAAGACTTTGAGGAGGGTATGGTTATGATGGTTTTGTCTTAGAAAGCTGTGTCATCAATATATTATACCATTGGGTGACAATGGTCACTATCCTTCCTTGATAATGTTTAACCTGGACAGTAAATCTTACCATCAGCACAATATCTGTTTACAAATGAGACTATGTACATAAGTAAATACTTATAGAGAGGATTTCTAACAGTGACCTGAAATAACTAGTAACGGTTCAGTCTAGGGAAGTGTCAAAATGACCCTCAAATGGTCGGAAAACAAATTTTTCTTCTTGTTTATTTTTCATTTGTATATAAAAGACACAAATGATAATATAAACAATTAAACCGATAACAACCTTTTTCATTGAAATTTGCATATTTATTTTGGTAATTGTGGACGAATTCAAACTGTAAATTTTCAAGGCACTCGGATATGATAGATGTCATAGTCGTCTTCCAGAAACTTGATATGTCAGGGTATAAATACTTGTTACCATAAATACATTAGTGAAAGTCAATTTTCTATCACCTCGATGTCAGATTTAAAAAAAAAACGTAGGTCTTCTCCCAGCATCGCCATAGTGACTATATAAGAACACATCTCAAACCTTAAACAATGATCACATCTCCTTCTATTTGGGTAACTTTTTTAAGAAAATAAAATTAAAGAAGATTAGGTCTCATTGGAACGAAGAGTTCAATACAATACTGATAGAGATGACCCTTGTTCACAATACATATTTACAACATATTTATCATCAGTTCTAATTATTACATAATAAGTTAATGATGCTGATTAAACAAACTAACGACAAACAAGAGACTACACTTAAGACTTAAATTGCTTTTGATTAATTGGTGGAGATAGGTTTTACTTTGACATTTTTAAATTTTGAACTTATATTTAGTATCTATCACAATATGGTACTCAAAATGCATATAAATAGTTTCTAATATATTTGATTGCTTAAAAATGTTTTGAAATGTTAGAATTTAAATATATTATTATTACAAGATATGTTAGTTTACAATGCTATTTTGTATAAACAGTTACCAAAGTTTTGACTTATTATTTTTGAAAAAAAGTATTAATATGTAACATTTCAGTAAATGATTCATATGTAAATCTTAACAAAAAATTGATAACCAATGTGACCTTAATTTAAGAAGACACGATAGAATGAAAATGCATAGTTAAATCACATCATGATGTTTGACTAAAACAGTTTCTGAGACACAGAATGCACTAAAGATACACAATGATAATACTGGTAATGAGACAATGAATATTCAAGAGACATAAATATTTAAGAGAAATATGGTTATTCATGAGACAATGAATATTCATAAGTACCGAAACTTCATTAGGCAGTGAATATTCATGAGACAATGAGTATCCATGAGACAATGAACATTGATATTATACAGAAGCATAATTATTAGTTTGCTCATTTGCATATTGATATCTATATATTTAATTTGTCCAACTTTTATCTCATCATTTCAAAATAGTTCTTCCTGATTCTTAACATTGGCTTCTGTACATTTTCAGATAACACTTTTTGATTTCATAATTATTCTAGTTGAAATGAAATTTCTGCAACAAAAGCAGCAACTTTATACTTGCTTATATTATCACTTTTATAAAATGCAAAATTAGTAATATTTTATTTTTGTTTTTTCAATTCAAACAAATTTGAACCAACTACTGACATAAATGGCTGTCATATTAGGCATAGAGAATACCAACACGGCCTGCAGCCAACAGATAAGAAAAGAAGTGTCAAACATATGTACAAATAATCAGGAATGTGACCAACATGTATAAAAGATGAGAAAAATTTCCTATTATATATACATGTATTTAATATATAAACTTTTATATATGTCATATATATTTAGTATTTTTTCATCTGATGTAGGATTATCAAAATGTTTCATTGAAATGAACAAAGCAAGTTTAAACAAAAAATTTCATCACATTGCTTCTGAATGAGTTGTCTCCCTTGTGACGTAATGATAGTGATGTAATAATATACTCTTGACGCCTGCGATGTCGATTTGTTATCAGTATATACCCTCAGCAAAATACATCACATGATTTTTTCTGAACACGTTTATCATGTGATAAAATATAAAAACAGAACATTAACATGGCAACTAAAATTTCATACCACAATCACTAATGTTTTCAAGCCTTGCATTAGCAAATGTGATTTGGAATTTTAGTTAAATATTTTGTTTTTATATATCTATATGTATCATACACAAAGCGTTTCTCTAATTATATATATATACATTTATACAACTATCAATATTTGGAGTGAAATAGGCAATATTGCATAGATAATATCAATGGAATACAACTTGATTATTTTGACGTAAGCTTCGTCTACCTCGTTATTTTACACTAAACAATGCTGAATGGAAGTAAAAACACCATATGCAATGAATATCATAATATGTTCCTGTATTACATAACAATAGAAATAATAAAGTCTCTCTCAGACAACGTTCTTACATAATTGTAAATGGCAGGTATAATAAGTCCCCAATCATTTACACATAGAGCATTTATACATAAGCTGTGGAACAAATCAATTACCTCATCTCCGAACATTTCACATCCATGACGTCATCCAACTATTTCATGATGTAAGTTACTTCAATAAAGGGAATGGTCAGATGTAATAGTGGCTGTTTCAGAATCCATGCTGACGACTGTAGAATGAAAATCACATGTCCGCAACAATGAAAGCATGTTTGGAATCTTTGTCATAGGAAACTCAATCTCCTACTTGCCAATCGTTCATGTTAAACTTGGAAACAATTTTTTACTTTTCTTTAAATCTTGAAGCAAAACATTGAAACAGGGATAGCTTGTATTTTCTCTGACGAGATAATTCTAGTACACAAGAATTTACAGGCCGAACATTCACAACAGATCATTCCTATTCATCCAGCTTTTAAATTTTTCACTGCACTGTGTATGGTAACATTTCAGAATCTTTAATGAGAAATACCACACCTACGTATACAAATTATAAGCTGTCAGTTGCACAACATTCTTCTTTCGACCCATTTTCAGCAATAACACATACATACTATAGTTATGAAAACAAATGTACTCGGTATTACTCGTAAATCAAACGATGCTGAAAGACAATGTGTGGGAGATGCTGATATCACTCTAAAGGTATGCCTTGCATTGATGTTGACAATCCTAGTATGTGTGTTTGTGCTGATCATCAACACAGTGGATGGTTCCTTAAGTCCACCATTTCCACAGAAGGAATATCCACACAGATTATATTTCAGTAATACTTTGTACTTGTCTTTGGATGACCCTATTACTTATCACACTTTGATTTTATAGTCTCGTTTCCCACGTTTCCGTAAATTCATCGAAAATTGTCATGGTTCCTCCTTGTACCAGAAAACCTTGTCTTCCTTCTATACCATTGGCGGGTCTTCGACCATTCGCCCCCACCATCTACAAAATAAGTCAACATTAATGACCATTCGAGTCCCAACAAACTGTGGTACAGAACAGCTGAGTTAACATAGTATCACTTCCAATGCTTGTTAGCACGATTCTTAAAAATCTCAACAATACCTTTTTTTCAAAACAGTGGAATTTCAAATACAATCTTTACACACAACTTGATATGAGAATGTTTGCTATTCCAAATCACTCAATGAGGTCAAAAAATGTACTTTTTATTTCACTCATTCTACGTACAAACGCACTGTAACATTAGAAAAAAATGGCTTAGAATACACATTGATAGTAAAACTAGCTATCAGGTTAAATTTCCTGTATGACCTATGTCTACAACACTACATACATGTATCTATATCACAAAATTAGGCAGTTTATGAAAATCTCAATAAATTCTACTTCATGCATTTTTGTTTTAATCTGACTACTAAGTAATCTACACCAGATGTATGTTAATTCTATATTTACAATACTTTACAAAGATTTCAAACAGAGAGTTCACATGTGTGTGACAATAGGGCCAAATGAACTGAAACAGAGACTTCACATGTGTGTGACAATAGGGCCAAATGAACTGAAACAGAATTAATTTGTATCTTCAGATTTGAGAACAAGTTATACTATGGTTTTAATAGGTTCATTCTGTTGAAAGCATTCGTAAAGAATAAATGAAATATACATGTTAATCAGTAGTTGTGAAACTATGGTTGATCTTAAGAGATTAACCTAACGTATGTGATGGTTAACTTTTCAATCACCATCTGTTAGGCGTCAAATTCTAATGTGGAAAGTGTCAGTTAACGGAAATTCAGAAATCAATATCTGAATCAGAGAAAAATGAACACTTATAGGGTGATCTAGGAAACACCCATTCAAGTGAGATCAACAGAAACTTCTTGGAAACAGATAAGGTTAGAATGTAGTTATTAAACAACGGCACGATCCTGAAAAAGTCAATCCTCACGATTACTAACATCAGAAAGCTTTTTAAAACCATTTGACTCCCAGAGAGTTCCTTTCATATCTTGTATTTTGAAGCATTGTTAGGCGAGGCATTGTTTTACTTTCTGGAGCTTTTTAATGTAATTCATTTAGATTTTGTCTGTTTCTGGTATTTTTGAGCACTGTTAGACAAGGCAAAGGGTTTTCAGAGCATTTCAATCTAGCTTTAGTATTAATATGCATGTTTGGAAAAACAGCAGTCAGAATTAGTTTGTTGTCTTCATTGCGATGCCAAGCCAATCTCCCAATCTGTCTCAGTAATTTGTCTTATAAAGCTCGTCAAAAGAATAATTTATTCTGCTATTTATCTTATTTAAGAAATGACCAGACATATATTAGTAAAACTTTATCTCACAACAATTGCGAAACAAGTTATTTCAACTTTTTCTAATCACTGTTGTTGGCCCGATGTAATTGAGCGAGGGGTCTTATTGTGAGAAGAAACCGAAGTACCTGGGGAAAACGCACGTGTCAGGACAGGTGACCCAAATAATATGATTTGTCTATACTACATCCTCCATGTTTCAAGTATAAAGACACCATGTCAGAGGACCACATGTATTAAGGTCTTTAGGAAACTAGAAATACATGATGGTAATATCTAAATCATGATACAGTTATACTGTTGAACTACCATAAACTCTAAATATAATTTTGTGAAGGGAGGTAATCTAATATGGCCGACAGATAACTCAAGAATGATAACCCGAAGAATGGCATGTTCCTGTGTTGATGTCTTTATACGCTCCAAATGTATACTAATTACCAGTTATCTGCAGAATTTGAATTCTCCATTTATACTGCAAGTTACTGGAATTAAACGGATTCGTGGATTAAGTGTATCCTCAAAATCAACAGAAATAAATCCTCCATGAAAATTCATGATTTTACAGATTGGAGCTCGAATGTGGGCAGCGAACAGTCAAGGTTTTGTCGTGTAAATACGAGAAGTGTGCTATACACACAGGAAGATTCTGGGCAGTTGTCTGTCTATATCAATGTCCATGTTAAATTTGCGTTTAAATACATTACAAATTATCACTGTGATTGTAAAATGGCTTTCTGGATGTGTTATCAATGAGAGCATTCTCCAACTTAATGAAAGTGACATCAGTGATCTGATTCAAACAAAACCGTTAACGGCAAGCATCAACTAAAGTGATATTACTATTAGTTTTCTTAAACGTTCAACTGGAATATACATCTGTCAGTCATAGATGTGGAAAATATGATACTGTAAATGAAAACATTTTCAGTGGTGTGATTATTTTTCATGTGGTTAGATTTAAGCACGTGCGAACAGGCAATTAATTAGTGAAGATATAAAAGTGATGGTAAAGTAACACTGTGAGAACCGATCTGAATTGTGATACTGAGGACTTTCATAAATATTATACTCAAGTATTCTATAAAAAGTATTAATTTGATACATATTTCAAGATATTATTTTATCATTCTATTCAATATACCTCCATACAATAACGTTGGAGGAGATTAAATGCTTTAGAGATATGATATGACTTTGAATGTCTATTGATACCAGAAATTGGGAACAGACTATATTTTACCTCGAAGAGAAAGCATACCAAATTAAATTAGAAATAATATATTATAAATACATATATCTATATACTTGTAAGTCGAAGGAGAATGAATGTTATGATACATAAATATAGCAGAAAGAGAAAAGACGTTTTTTATTTATCCATACATTGAAATTATGAAAAGCTGCTATTATATAAATAATATCAAGATTGAAATAGCAGTAATTTGAATCAGACTTTAATTCATTACAAAAGTAGGAAAAGATATATGTATATAAGTTAGGTGAAATGAAGAAAAGCTAATTGAAGTAAAAGAAAGTTAGGAAAAGTTATGACACCAGATGTATATTTCCAGAGAATATGTTAGTAATCTTGTTAAAATCTAAGTTACCACATACTTACACATAACATTAGGAATTGTTGATTCATAGGGGTGTTGTTTTACTCTGACGAAATACAAAATTCCTATACAATAAACTTAACACAAAAACCTAACAGATACAATCAAACCTCGTTATCTCGAACTCATGTAACACATAGTCTCGTTTTAATTCCAACTGTTTCTTTGATCCCTGTCAAACTTCACTCTTAACATTGAATACTTGATAACTTAAGGTTTCTGCTGATAATAACGAGAGTTGACTGTATAGATATCTCACAAGATATTCTGATAATTCCTCTATTTAAAATGTAGTCTGACAATTAAATATTTGTTAGATAAATTCAGGTATCAAATCAATATTTATCATTTCTTTCATGAACAGATCTTTAAAATAAGAACATGTATTCATGTTAAAGGACGAGTTTAATGAAGATTTTCAAGGATAACAGTTATTCATGTGCAGGACAAATATCTAACTCAATAACTTGGGTTTTCATCCAGACATTTATTTACCAGAACAACTTTCAGTCATGCCTGGCCAAACCAAAAACTGGATTCGCAATATTTTAACAAAGCAAAGTTTTTATGTTGCATATTTAATACCAATGTTAGCTTAGGATAATGGAAGGTTACTACATCCAGGGGGAGCTCTTCAGCCAAAGCATATTATATATCATATTGGTTACCAAATGCATCACTTTACCTGGAAACGATACCCAAACACAATTACCTGTAGAATAACTAGTTGATTTCAGTATCATGACAAAAAGAATATTCAAATTATTTGTTTAACATTTTTATCAACATTATGGAAGTATGTTTCAAAATAGGACAAAAGTTATGTTTTCAAAGAATGCACAAATATAGTAAGCAATTATCTATCTCCTAACTGATTAACTGATATCTCCTAAATGATATCTCCTAACTGATTAACTGATTTCTCCTAACTGATATCTCCTAACTGATTAACTTATTTCTCCTGATATCTCCTAACTGATATCTCCTAACTGATATCTCCTAACTGATTAACTGATTTCTCCTAACTGATATCTCCTAACTGATTAACTGATTTCTCCTAACTGATATCTCCTAACTGATTAACTTATTTCTCCTGATATCTCCTAACTGATATCTCCTAACTGATATCTCCTAACTGATTAACTGATATCTCCTAAATGATATCTCCTAACTGATTAACTGATTTCTCCTAACTGATATCTCCTAACTGATTAACTTATTTCTCCTGATATCTCCTAACTGATATCTCCTAACTGATATCTCCTAACTGATATCTCCTAACTGATATCTCCTAACTGATTAACTGATATCTCCTAACTGATATCTCCTAACTAATTAACTGATATCTCCTAACTGATATCTCCAGAAATATCCTGATAAAACAGATGTCTGCTCTGTCACCTGATCTTCTCCATCATTTCTTTCCTCTCTATTTAAATGGCACTATATCTCTATATTGATAGTTTAGTGGAATCCCTAAATATAGGTTTTTTCATTAAAGCAAGGGGAACCCCTAATGCTTCTTTTTCATTGGATGATAGAAAGTTCCCTAAATATAGGTTTTTTCATTAAAGCAAGAGGAACCCCTAATGCTTCATTTTCATTGGATGATAGAAAGTTACCCCCACCCCTCACCTCCCCCTCCTAAACCCCCAACCTCTTTATCGAGCCACTCAACTTACCGGATCTGTACCATTCGCGTTCTGTAAATCATTATTTGATAAATTGAAGAATTGTACGGGTCGCTTCCCGCCATCTTCTGCTGATATTTGTTCTGTAGACTGAGCCAATTTATTATCGTATACGAATTCGTTGTCGGTACTTCCCGCCCAACTCCGGCGGTAATCAATATCATCCGGATCTTCAGGTAGTCGGTATTTCTGTTTAGTGTGACGTCTTGAACACTGAAATGACAACAATATACCTACATAAATGTTTTATCTTAGTGTGGTTATAACAGTATATCTAAGTCATTTCTCTTTAATATAAAATCATTAATTTTCCTGAAGGTGAGCATTATTTTGATACATTTCGCAGGTACTCTTTATCAAATAAACTATAAAAAATAGTATAAGTAACTCTATCAAGCTACGTCCATCCATGAAATCATGTGTTACTGTTAATAAACCACAAAATATCTTAAGGTAATATTAATATTTTTAAATTAAGATATAATTAGCTGTTTTTTGTTTCGGCTTTTAAATGTTAAAATAAAAAATGAATTATTGTTTAAGCTTACAACTTGTGAACATGAATCAATTTACAGAAAATATTTTTGACGCTACATGAATTCACGAAGGGAGACAACTCACCAATATACATATCATCGCTATAAAGAAGATGAGGACTACAGATCCACAGGCTATCACGGCGATGGCCCAGTTAGGGAACCCTTGTACAACAACAGGCATTGCTTCAGTTGTCACCGGAGTTCTTATCACTGCAACATCAGATATCAATCATGTTGGGAAAAAAAAGAAAAACAAACAATCAATGAATGGAATTTATATCTCCAACAGCCTTGATATAAAGTCTGGCTAAAGGACGGTAAGATTCATCTCCAACAGCCTTGATATAAAGTCTGGCTAAAGGATGGTAAGATACATCTGTAAACCTTGATATAAAGTCTGGCTAAAGGATGGTAAGATACATCTGTAAACCTTGATATAAAGTCTGGCTAAAGGATGGTAAGATACATCTGTAAACCTTGATATAAAGTCTGGCTAAATGATGGTAAGATACATCTCCAACAGCCTTGGTATAAAGTCTGGCTAAAGGATGGTAAGATACATCTGTAAACCTTGATATAAAGTCTGGCTAAATGATGGTAAGATACATCTGTAAACCTTGATATAAAGTCTGGCTAAAGGATGGTAAGATACATCTGTAAACCTTGATATAAAGTCTAGCTAAAGGATGGTAAGATACATCTGTAAACCTTGATATAAAGTCTGGCTAAAGGATGGTAAGATACATCTGTAAACCTTGATATAAAGTCTGGCTGAAGTATGGTAAGATTCATCTCCATAAGCCTTGATATAAAGTCTAGCAAAAGGATGGTAAGATACATCTGTAAACCTTGAAATCCAGAAACATTTAGCAAAGTTCACATACTGAAATCAATTGGCCAATCACGACATCGAACCCCGAATCCAATCATATTTTTATTACAACTATAACAAAGTGGCATACTTCTATAACAGACATCACACAGAGGTAAAATTCAATCATTGTTAATTTTGCAACACAAACAAATTCCTAGGAAATTTTAAACGAAAAATTTACCTAAATGTTCACAATTTGTTGAAATTTATTTTTTTTAACTTAAAGGTAAAAAGAATACCATCATGAGAAATTGATGTTTCATCCACAGTAAAACGTCCAAGGTTTCCATCTGACACTGCAGTCTGCATGACGCTATTCAAGTTGCCAGATGTGACAGGTGTAGAGCCGGATAATTTGACAGTGTAATCAACAACCACACTTCCTTGTCTGTAATTTCAGAAAACAAAATTTTATATCATAAATCTCCAATTACTGATTTTTTTATTGACAATATTAATGATGTGATGCTTCATCATTTTTATATAAATATTTAAGGGCGATATAGAAACCATGGATATATAAGTATACCATTAGTTAATGCTACTAGAACTAGGAGAAAATCTATATCAGTAAAAGGATAATTGGAAAGAATGAAAATAACATCAACAATGCAAACAAAATCCCAGATCACAAATGTTACTTAAACCAGTGGCAGATTTTGATTGACAGGGTACAGTATGGTGGTAGCTTACTTACGTAAAACGATCGATGATAACTTCTACAAACTGGTCCCCATACTGAGCCTTGTATACAGCTTCCAACTGAAAACAATTATATCATTGATACTTTTCAATCCATGATAAACATATCAACAGAATGTATTATAGGTATGAGTAGGCAGTATAAATGGAAATAACTCCAGATTGAAAGTCGTATATCAAAATATTTCCATTCCTTTTGACACTAGTGTCTATGATTAGAATACACTTACCTCTGGCTTGATATCATCACGCAGATTAATGAACTCGTCTGATGTCCTATCTGCTAGTGCTGGTACCCAGTTGGCTCCATTTGTAATTCTTATTGAAGCTCTGGCCTCACTTGTCACTTCAGGAAACGATGTGGGAGATTGTGTCACTGGAGTTTGTGTTGTTGGAGCTTGTGTTGTTGGGGCTTGTGTAGTTGGGGCTTGTGTTGTTGGAGCTTGTGTTGTTGGAGCTTGTGTTGTTGGAGCTTGTGTTGTTGGAGCTTGTGTTGTTGGTGCTTGTGTTGTTGGAGCTTGTGTTGTTGGGGCTTGTGTTGTTGGTGCTTGTGTTGTTGGAGCTTGTGTTGTTGGGGCTTGTGTTGTTGGGGCTTGTGTTGTTGGGGCTTGTGTTGTTGGGGCTTGTGTTGTTGGGGCTTGTGTTGTTGGAGCTTGTGTTGTTGGTGCTTGTGTTGTTGGAGCTTGTGTTGTTGGAGCTTGGGATGTTGGGGCTTGGGTTGTTGGGGCTAGTGTTGTTGGGGCTAGTGTTGTTGGGGCTTGTGTTGTTGGGGCTTGTGTTGTTGGAGCTTGGGATGTTGGGGCTTGTGTTGTTGGGGCTTGTGTTGTTGGAGCTTGTGTTGTTGGGGATTGGGTTGTTGGGGCTTGTGTTGTTGGAGCTTGTGTTGTTGGGGCTTGTGTTGTTGGGGCTTGTGTTGTTGGAGCTTGGGATGTTGGGGCTTGTGTTGTTGGGGCTTGTGTTGTTGGGGCTTGTGTTGTTGGGGCTTGTGTTGTTGGAGCTTGTGTTATTGGGGCTTGTGTTGTTGGGGCTTGTGTTGGGGCTTGTGTTGTTGGAGCTTGTGTTGTTGGGGATTGGGTTGTTGAGGCTTGTGTTGTTGGTGCTTGTGTTGTTGGAGCTTGTGTTGTTGGTGCTTGTGTTGTTGGAGCTTGTGTTGTTGGGGCTAATGTTGTTGGGGCTCGTGTTGTTGGGGCTTGTGTTGTTGGGGCTTGTGTTGTTGGGGCTTGTGTTGTTGGGGCTTGTGTTGTTGGTGCTTGTGTTGTTGGAGCTTGTGTTGTTGGGGCTTGTGTTGTTGGGGCTTGTGTTGTTGGGGCTTGTGTTGTTGGAGCTTGTGTTGTTGGAGCTTGTGTTGTTGGGGCTAATGTTGTTGGGGCTTGTGTTGTTGGGGCTTGTGTTGTTGGGGCTTGTGTTGTTGGGGCTTGGGTTGTTGGAGCTTGGGTTGTTGGGGCTTGTGTTGTTAGAGCTTGTGTTGTTGGGGCTTGTGTTGTTGAGGCTTGTGATGTTGGTGCCTCTGTTGTTGGAGTTTGGGTTATTGGAGCTGGAATTGTGGGTGCTTGTGTTGTTTGTGCATGTGTTGTGACCTTTTCAGTTGGTGCCTTTGTGGTGGCGTTTTGGGTAGGTGCCTGTGTTGTGGCATTTTGGGTGGGTGCCTGTGTTGTGGCAATTTGGGTGGGTGCCTGTGTTGTGGCATTTTGGGTGGGTGCCTGTGTTGTGACCTTTTCTGTTGGTGCCTGTGTGGTGGCATTTTGGGTGGGTCCCTGTGTTGTGGCATTCAGGGTTGGTGCCTGTGTAGTGGTAATTTGGGTGGGTGCCTGTGTTGTGGCATTTTGGGTGGGTGCCTGTGTTGTGACCTTTTCGGTTGGTGCCTGTGTGGTGGCATTCAGGGTTGGTGCCTGTGTAGTGGCAATTTGGGTGGGTGCCTGTGTTGTGGCATTTTGGGTGGGTGCCTGTGTTGTGACCTTTTCTGTTGGTGCCTGTGTGGTAGCATTTTGGGTGGGTCCCTGTGTTGTGGCATTCAGGGTTGGTGCCTGTGTAGTAGTAATTTGGGTGGGTGCCTGTGTTGTGGCATTTTGGGTGGGTGCCTGTGTTGTGACCTTTTCAGTTGGTGCTTGTGTGGTAGCATTTTGGGTGGGTGCCTGTGTTGTGACCTTTTCAGTTGGTGACTGTGTGGTGGCATTTTGGGTTGGTGTCTGTGTAGTGGCAATTTGGGTGGGTGCCTGTGTGGTGGCATTTTGGGTGGGTGCCTGTGTTGTGGCATTGTGGGTGGGTTCCTGTGTTGTGACCTTTCCAGTTGGTGCCTGTGTGGTGGCATTTTGGGTGGGTACCTGTGTTGTTGGTGCCTGTGTTGTTACCTTTTCGGTTGGTGCCTGTGTGGTGGCATTTTGGGTGGGTGCCTGTGTGGTGGCATTCAGGGTTGGTGCCTGTGTAGTGGCAATTTGGGTAGGTGCCTGTGTTGTGGCATTTTGGGTGGGTACCTGTGTTGTGGCATTTTGGGTGGGTGCCTTTGTTGTGACCTTTTCGGTTGGTGCCTGTGTGGTGGCATTTTGGGTGGGTGCCTGTGTTGTTGGTGTTGGTGTTGTGACCTTCTCGGTTGATGCCTTTGTTGTGATCTTTTTGGTTGGTGCCTGTGTAGTGGCAATTTGGGTGGGTGCCTGTGTTGTGGCAGCGTGGGTTGTGGCAGCTTGGGTTGTTGGTGCCTGTGTGGTGGCAGCTTGGGATGTGGCAGCTTGGGTTGTTGGTGCCTGTGTCATGGCAACTTGGGTTGTTGGTGCCTGTGTCGTGTCAGCTTGGGTTGTAGCAGCTTGGGATGTTTGTGCCTGTGTAGTGGCAGCTTGGGTTGTTTGTGTCTGTGTAGTGGCAGCTTGGGTTGTGGGTGCCTGTGTCATGGCATCTTGGGTTGTTGGTGCCTGTGTTGTTGCAGCTTGGGTTGTTGGTGCCTGTGTTGTGGCATTTTGGATTGTGGCATCTTTAGTTGCTGGAGCATGGGTTGTTTGTGCCTGTGTAGTGGCAGCTTGGGCTGTGGCAGCTTGGGTTGTTGGTGCCTGTGGCAGCTTGGGTTGTTGGTGCCTGTGTCATGGCATTTTGGGTTGTTGGTGCCTGTGTGATGACAGCCTGGGTTGTGGGTGCCTGTGTAGTGGCAACTTGGGTTGTTTGTGCCTGTGTCGTGGCAGCTTGGGTTGTTGGTACCGGTGTTGTGGCAGCTTTGGTTGTTTGTGCCTGTGTCGTGGCAGCTTGGGTTTTTGGTACTGGTGTCATGGCAGCTTTGGTTGTTGGTGCCTGTGTCGTGGCAGCTTGGGTTGTTGATGCCTGTGTCGTGGCAGCTTGGGTTGTTGGGACCGGTGTTGTGGCAGCTTGGGATGTTGGTGCCTGCGTCGAGCCAACTTGGGTTGTTGGTGCTTGTGTTGTGGCATCTTGGGTTGTGGCTAATTGAGTTGTTGGAGATTTTGTTGCTGGTACCGGTGTCATGGCAGCTTGGGTTGTGGGTGCCTGTGTAGTGGAAGTTTGGGTTGTGGGTGCCTGTGTCGTGGCAGCTTGGGTTGTGGGTGCCTGTGTCGTGGCAGCTTGGGTTGTGGGTGCCTGTGTTGTGGCAGCTTGGGTTGTTGGTACCGGTGTTGTGGCAGCTTGGGTTGTTGGTACCGGTGTCGTGGCAGCTTGGGTTGTGGGTGCCTGTGTCGTGGCAGCTTGGGTTGTGGGTACCTGTGTCGTGGCAGCTTGGGTTGTGGGTGCCTGTGTCGTGGCAGCTTGGGTTGTTGGTACCGGAGTTGTGGCAGCTTGGGTTGTTGGTGCCTGTGTCGTGGCAGCTTGGGTCGTTGGTACCGGTGTCGCGGCAGTTTGGGTTGTTGGTGGCTGTGTCGTGGCAGCTTGGGTTGTTGGTACCGGTGTCGTGGCAGCTTGGGTTGTGGGTGCCTGTGTCGTGGCAGCTTGGGTTGTTGTTACAGGTGTTGTGGCAGCTTGAGTTGTTGGTGCCTGTGTCGTGGCAGCTTGGGTTGTTGGTACCGATGTCGTGGCAGCTTGGGTTGTGGGTGCCTGTGTCGTGGCAGCTTGGGTTGTTGTTACCGGTGTTGTGGCAGCTTGAGTTGTTGGTGCCTGTGTCGTGGCAGCTTGGGTTGTTGGTGGTGGTGTCCTTGGTGCTGAGGTCATTATTACTGTTGTCAGTGTTTGAGTTTCTGTTTTAAAACCTGAAAATAGAATTTTCAGCATAGTAGAAGAGGCAAAATTCTTTTTTTAATTTCAAATGTATGTTTTTTTCTATGGTATGAAACAAGGTCTATACTTTTCATCATCTTTCTTTACTATTACCATTATATGTTTACTTCCACATCCATTTCCAAGATAAATTAATATAACAAGGAATCACAAACAATGCACATATCCTTACAGTTCCAACTTAAGCCAATCAAGAAGATGGAAAATTGTGTTATTAAGCTACTTGAGTGATGACAAGAATTTGCATGTTAGTTGTTTGTTAAATCCTTCATAATTGGAGGAGATAAAAAGAATAATAGGCCTATATATATTTCATTATGAAATTGATTGAACTCTGACACAGATTTTCTGAAAACAAAATTGTAATACTGGCCTTGACCTTGACCTTGACCCTACAAACTTGAATCAGAGTGATCCCTGATATACTGGTCCTTTATAACTGTATGAAGTTTAATCAAAAGGAATGAAGCAACTATAGCGCTAACAAGGTTTAGTTTTACATCACTTACAACAACAATTCCTGAATTCCTGGGAATGTTCTTTTAAAATGTTAATTCTGTTGAAAACATGTAAATTGTAAAATAGGAAAATATTTGCCATGTCAGATTGTTAACCTTACAAACATATACATGTAACTGGAAGTACAATAAAAACCAGCTACATTTCGATATACCATCCATAATAATGATATAACGAGGTGTGACAAGGGGCTGACACGATAAAACAGGTTCTGAGGTGTGACAAGGGGCTGACACGATAATAACAGGTTCTGAGGTAGAGTTAGAGTCTTATGTTGTAACTAACCATGGGAGGAAAACAGAGAACAATTTCTGGAAATCAATGTCGAAATTTTGCGAAAAGAATAGGTCATCGCTAAGTATTCTATGAAAGTAATATCTGGAAAATCTCCCGAAAAACCATCTATTTTAAGGTTATATTATTGATATGATTTACAGGTTAGAATTCATCATTCCGTATTTTGCAATTAATGTTTTTTATTTACACAACACAATACAACAAATACATAGACACAATGGTACAAAAAATATAGTACTGTGACGGCATTAATACTTACTTGTAGACAAGACAAGACTTGCTGGTGGAATGTTATGGTAAGGTGAGGAAGCTAGGAAAGTATTCTCTGGCGAGGAAACAGAAAGTTGTTTAAGAGTGTGAGACATGCTGTACACAGGTGTTACATCAGAGGTAGAGACAACCATGCCAGACCAAACAGACAGGGAAGGCAACATACTTGTTGAGGTTACATCCGGTAAAAGACTACTAGCAATGTCATGTGGTACAGATGATATAACTTCAATGTAACGCGCTGTAGCATCAGATGACGCATCATCTATTACGTCACCCTGAATTGTAGTCGTTATTTTGCTATCCTCCTGTACACTAACTGACGATGTGTCTTGCTGTAGTGGTGTTTTTTGTGTACTAGATGGTTTGATAGAATGGGAAGAAATCATCGTGGACATGACGTGTGTAGTGACTACACCAGTAGAAAACACAGTATCCTTCGTTGATTCTAAATCTTCACTATAAGATACGTAATCTATGGACTCGTGAATGGATGGCGTACTTAGAACTTTACCTAATGGCAATGACTCGAGTCTGATTCCATCTGATGCTTCAAGTTTATCATAAGAAGATAACACTTCACTTGAAGCATCATATACGGATTGCAACGAGTTTCTTAAATCATTTGCAGACACAAAAGAAGTCATTTCAGTTCCACGAGACATATCTACATACGACGTATCAACACTAGTTGTTTCAGATTTAACAGAAATGCTTGGTCCAGTTGATGAAGGTTTGATGTCAGTATTGAAGGACCTCACAACTGAGCTGCTTGATACAAGGTTGACATCATTGGCAGTGTAAAGTGTAGTTAGACTAGATAGAGAGGATACAGGTGCAGTATTGTACGAGGTCTGACCACCACTAACTGTTTCTGACATTAAGGAAGATGAGAAGATCTCTGTGACAGTGTCAGATTCACCAGACGATGGCATCTCATGTGCAGAAACAATCACGGAGGACGGTGTTGTGACGACACTTCTATCTTGTAGGTTTAAGGTTTGTCCTACTAATGGGGTCGTTTCTGTTGAATTAGTGCTGCTGACAGGTGATAAATAAGAGACTGAAATAGCTGGAGTATTTGTACCGCTACTGGATACGAACCTACTTGGTGAGGACGAAATCTTTTCCAACGTTTCAGACATTGTTAGTCGAGACGATAAGGATTCCATCCCAGTATCAGATGAAGCTCTTGTACTATATGTGTTAAGTTCTGAGGACGGGAGAGATGAACCAGTTTCATCACCGGAGAAAGTCTTATCCTCAGGAGTTGTCAGAGACATCATAATATGACTAGGTGTTAAAACAATAGAATGTTCTTGAGACTCTTCACTTAAAGTAACTAAAGATCCTCGCAATACCACACTTGTTCCAACATACGACCTCTGCGATTCTTCAGTAGAAACAACAGATTTTTGCGCTGATCCAGATTTCTGGATCTCAGAACTAGGTACATGAACTGCACTAAAAGTGTTGTGTGTATACAGTGAAGGTAATAAAGTTTCTACCTTGGTGTCAGTATGGTCTGCACTGGCAGATGGCATGACGAAACTAGATATATTGACAGGTGGCGCTGACATAGCAGATGTAGAAACTGTAGAGGATGTCAGTACTGCCGGCGAAGGAGTGATGGAAATTAAGGTTGAACTACTCAGAGAGAAAGTATTTAGCGACAGTGATGGACTATCATCTGTAAAAATGTCTGAATATATTGACAAAGGAGTAAGACTTGGAGCAGCAATAGTTCCCGGAGAAGCTGAAAGGGTTACACTAGAACTGAATGCAGTTGCTATAGTAGCAGCTGAAGCAACCAGTTTGGATGCTGATCTGGAGACTAAATCCAATGGTTCAGTGGCAATTGTTTCAGAAGTTGTTGAAGTAATTGAATCAAAGGTTGAAGTTGATACAAGGACTGAGTTAGACATGGTATTCATGGATGTAGCACTGGATGTTTCAAACTGGTTGTTGCTGGTAGGTAGTGGCCCTAAACCGATACTAGCAAACTGTTTGCTCGGTAATATTGTTGGTATTTTTGTTGACGTCATCTGTGAACTGGAAGCTATTGACTGGTCAGTTAAGACAGAAAAAGAAGAACTTGGATGCAAAGCTATTTCTCTGGCTTCACTGCTAGTCGACATCTCGCTTGCTTCAGTGGCAGTCATCATCTCGCTGGCTGTAGTGGCAGTCACCATCTCGCTGGCTTCAGTGGCAGTCACCATCTCGCTGGCTTCAGTGGCAGTCACCATCTCGCTTGCTTCAGTGGCAGTCACCATCTCGCTGGCTTCAGTGGCAGTCACCATCTCGCTGGCTTCAGTGGCAGTCACCATCTCGCTGGCTGTAGTGGCAGTCGACATCTCGCTGGCTTCAGTGGCAGTCACCATCTCGCTGGCTTCAGTGGCAGTCGACATCTCGCTGGCTTCAGTGGCAGTCACCATCTCACTAGATTCAGTGGCAGTCACCATCTCGCTAGATTCAGTGGCAGTCGACACCTTACTAGATTCAGTGGCAGTCGACATCTCACTATATTCAGTGGCAGTCACCATCTCGCTAGCTGCAGTGGCAGTCACCATCTCGCTTGCTGCAGTGGCAGTCACCATCTCGCTTGCTGCAGTGGCAGTCACCATCTCGCTTGCTTCAGTGGCAGTCACCATCTCGCTTGCTTCAGTGGCAGTCACCATCTCACTTGCTGCAGTGGCAGTCACCATCTCGCTTGCTTCAGTGGCAGTCACCATCTCACTTGCTGCAGTGGCAGTCACCATCTCGCTTGCTTCAGTGGCAGTCACCATCTCGCTTGCTACAGTGGCAGTCACCATCTCGCTTGCTTCAGTGGCAGTCACCATCTCGCTTGTTACAGTGACAGCTGTTGTTGCACTCTTTTCCACAGATGTTGAATGCCGATTTTGTTCTAATGTCATGCTCTGATTTATTTCAGAAATAGAAGTCAAGGCAACAGGGTGTGAGGTAGAAACCTGAGTAGTGGCATCATATATACTTAGTATTGGAGTTGAAGAGAAAAATGTGAAACTTGTCTCTTTCAGATTAATATCAGAACCAGAATAAAGGTGTTGATTCGAAGCATGTGTTGTAAGACCAACAGAGGGTGATCTTGGTACCGTTTGATGCATCATTGAAACAGAAATACTGCTTCTTAAAGAATCAGTACTCGAAAAATTTTCACTGATCACTGATTTCTTTGTTTCATTTGATGATTCCTTTTCCAGCAACAAACTAGAAATAGTCTGGTTTGTCATAGGAGATGACGTGGACAACGTTTTATCGAGTTCATCGTCATTGGACGCCGGTCCTTCAGTAAAGATAGCAGCTGAGGAGGAAACAAGTGGAGATAACTCTGTGGAAGTTGTGAAAAGGGTAGATAACTCCAGTGATGGGAAGATAGGCAGAAGGGTAGTAGCTGTAGGTGAGATATAGATAGAAAGAGAAAATAAGTGAAATATGAAGATATTTTACATAAAAACAAAACCTTCAGACTTTAATCAAATGTTAAGGTTAGGAAGATCAGCATTTATATTTTAACAGAAAATATTTGCAAACAAGCTTCATCCCATACCAATGGATATTATCTTCACCAAATGTTTATTGATAACATCACGAAGAGAAGTTCTGTAATGGATCACTGAGATGATAGATAAATGTACATCGTATGGAAGCAAATCAAGCAAAGCAAACTGCTGAAGTGAGTCATAAATATGTAGATTAATGAAATAAGTTAAACAAAATAAGTTGAAGACATGATTATCACGTGTATTGTGTAAATAAATGTTATTGGTATATAATGAATATATAGGTGTTAATGTTATATAACACAAACAACTCTATAAAGAAAGAAGAGGAAATACTCAGATTTTAAATTAAAATACAAAAACATTATCATTACCTGTTACCATGGAATCACTTGATGACGTCACTGATGCAGAAGACGGTGCTACGGTTGATGTGCCAGCTCCTTGTACATTAACACTAGTGGACAGAGTTGGCGTCTGTGTATGGGAGGATGTGTCAGAAAGCAGCATACTTGATGACATGCTGGACGAGATCTGGTCCACGCTTGTTGGTTGTGGACTTGATGACGGCGACGGCTGAACACTTGATATAGAAATGGAACCAGAGCTTGACGTCATCTGTGAACTTGATGACGTCATGGTTTCTGAAGAGTTAGAATGTATGACTGATGTACTTGGGGTTGGCGTTGGTGACGTCACTATCACCGGTGTCGTATTTGACGACGTTACAGACGAAACTGATGACTGAAACATCATCGTACTTGATACCAAGCCAGCAACATCGTTCGAAGATTGACCTGAAAATACACAAAATCGATACAAACTACTTAATGAAGGTTAAAAACGATGGAGGCATTCCTAATATATCATACTAAGTGTGGTATTAGTGACAGAAAGCGGAGAGGGGTCTGAGAACAATATCACGTAAATAGAAAAATATCAGTCTCTCTTTTAGGGAAGACAAAGGATTCTCAACACCAATCCTTTATTTTAGCTTTATGTTGACCACATTGTCTGGACTTCACAGAATACATCAGGTATCTATTCGTGAACCTAGCCGCAATCTGAGACATATAGTGGGTTCGTTGTTCAATATTGTTTTCTCAGTCACTCTCCTAGTAGAAAAACTAGAACCAAAACGCCATTAACAACAACAAAACTACTTGTTATTCTCATATTGACTGACGTCTCAAAACATTACCGGTAAACCACTACGATCTTTCTACGTCCATCCGTTCATTTGTCATGTAATTATTAAAGGGTACGTTATATAGAATTAATTTAATGACAATATTAAAACAAGATAGTAAGCACTTAAGTATTCAGAGGTTTTACTTCGGGAAGGTTAGAGATAGCAACTGGTTCCGCATGGTTGGTCAATCAGTTCTGAATCCTGCTCAATGTCAGATTAATATAAAATACTCGATAAAATATACTTTTCTATTTATAGAAACACAACAAAACCGTAGAAAAGTTGGTCGCGTGATGTTTCGCGCCATTGCGGCAGGTGTACACTGACCATGTCAATCAAACAGGACAGATAATGAGTGGTCACTTCAGTACAGAATTCTAATGTGTGTTCGAAAGTGTATTGTTTATCTCTACCGAAGGTCAGACACTGATTTTGGTTTGAGTAATGTTTTGAACATTCCTGCACTCCTAATTCCAGCTTAGGTCACGTGTATAGTACCAAGGCGTACCCAGGATCATGTGAATATATTTGAGTTGTTAATATTAAGACGTGGTCTTTGGAATTTTGTGCACATATTTTTGACAGACGATCATTTTGTGACTTAACCCACGCTGACATTTGTAGCCTAACATTATGACCTGTCACATCTACTAACCGCTGGTTAGGACCACACATTACAGACAGGGATGTCGTAATATGCCCAGGCGTTGTCATCTAGACCTGTTTATGGCAGGACGTAATCATGCCCGTAATGATTACTACAGAATATAGCATGATGGCCTACAGCAAATTATCAGGGGGAAATGAATTTCAAATGAAAAAACAGAAACTATCAAAATGAGAGAATCTGGTAGTCAGTGCGTACATGCGATACTAAAAATGTCGTTTTTTCTCTTTTTAAGTTCGCTGTGTTTTATTAGGAGAACGATACCCTAAAATCTGTTCTATTTCAGATTATTGTGAATTTTGGAAATGACATCTTGAAGCTAGAACAATGCAATACCCGTATAAAACGAAAGTAGATTTGCGATTTAGTCTTTTGTAACAGGTGTCAACAATCTCAATGGGCGTGAATGATTGATATGTGAAATGATCATAAATATTAAGTACGCCTGTCACCTGAAATGTCACCTGCTAATTAGCTTCGTCTGCGTCTCACCTGGTAATATGTATATAAAACACTTCAAACAACATGTAGGACCGTTTTAAACATGGTGGTGTCTTAATATTGTTTTGAATTTACTGTGCATTGATTCAATAAACCATAAAACTCAATTCTACGTAAAAGATGGATTAAAGTTTTTATTTATTTATTTTTTTTTTATGTGTAATATTGACATAAGAAAATAGGAATCTACGACGAAAAAACCCAATGGCGTGGTTACAACTAAAAATAGAAAAAATGACGAGAAGAAGAAGTTATTCTCTTCTAAATTGCGACGACGGTCAGTAGGTTACATCAAATTCAATCGATGTCACGTTGTCAAAGTGAGAGCAATGGAAGTGACAGGTGGTACACCGATACAAAAGTTTTCCATGTTATCCTCTAGTCTCAGAAGAATTCCTTCCAAGACGGAGATTGTAAACTCTATACAGCACATGCGGTTTTTTCCCTTTTTTACCTATCATATTCACTGTTATTTACTTTTTTCTAGTTTAGGTGAGGCGGCATCAGATTGTTGTCGACAAACATAACATACTTGCAGTAAATATCTGCGATCTATACCTACATATAATTGTTTCAAGAGGTTCGAAAATAAATCTGTTATTCCATTTCAACACATTCCTGTTATATACTTTACCAGGTATTTCAGCAGGTGACTGTTTTTTTTTTTTTTTTTTACATATTCGGAAAGGTTATGAAGCATAAACAACGCCGACCTTCCCCTCAAAAACCTATTAATTCTTAAATGCTTTCTCGGAATATCATAAACAATGATAAAGGCTTGAACAGTGGTCTGTGTGTGTACAAGAATTTGTCAATCCCTGCACGTATTCGGAGTCTTTGTCACGCCGCTCTCTAACAAAACAAACGTTTTACGAAGCAGACAAACGAGTTTTCTTAAGCAACAATAGAATTTAAAATTAGACACAATATGTCAGGATAAATCCACAATGGTTCCAGCTACGTTAATCTATTACGTTGAGACCCACCTAGCTACCCAAACCTGAATAATGGTATGTAATCCATGTAACCTGTAGTTGCAAATCGACGACATGAATCTGATTGAAGGGCTAGGCGTTTCAAAATAGTCCTTACTACCCCTATAACCGATTTAAAGATGGAACCTTCCACAAATTCTATTTGATATTGACAAAGATTATACTGAAATTACACGGAAAGTTTCATGAATGAGAGCACACGGGTTTTAACAGGACAATTCATCGTGGTAAAATGAAAATACCGGTTTCTCAACTTGAGGCAGATATCGAGCAGTATAGTGCTATACATTACAATTCTACGAAAGATGAACATAATAACTAGCATTAGGAATGTCTTCTTTTTTTTAAAAAAAAAACGACTCATATTTTCGTCATTATTCTATAGGCTAGAAGTTAACAATCGTAAGAAAGCCGTACAGATGTACATTAACCTTAAACTTGGATCTATTAAATTTGAATGTGATTTAATCCCTGACTTAATCACCATATCTTAATGTGTTTTAAAATTACGTCAAAAAGTAAAAGTAGAAATTTACAGAAGTTGTGAATATCTATACAAGATAATGGGGTTGCAAATGGTTTTTTAGTGTATGTTGGGTGGGAGGTGTCGGCGGGCGAAGTAAAGAAAAAAACAAAGTAAGAAAAATATCTCCTTAGTGATTCGAGTGTCTGCTTAAGCATACACAGGCGCACAAGTGTTTGTACCCCTGAAGTCTCACGCCTCGTTAAGTTATACTTCCGTGCAGGAGAATACAGAATATGGCGCTATGATCAAAGATTAAAATGTTACATACATCAAAAAGAAAAGAGATACATAACCTGATTCTATATGGCAAATATACAGACACGAGTCTTCGTGCAGATCTACTAAACACTCTATTTCTACACAAGAAGAAGTTTTCTTTCCTGTCGAAGTGTACATGAGAATATTTTGAACTAAATATGTTGTTTTTTTAATGTAATTTTTGCAAATAAAAAAAGACGAAAATGTTCCTGATTTATGTGTGTTATGCAGTCGATGGGCGTGGTCAGTCGAGTAGGCGAATGTTACTCAAATGGGGATATCAACTCTGGAATATCACATTTTCATTTGTCAGCTGTTTGAAACACAATAAATTCCCTACTACAATATATATACAGTATATCTGAAATTACTAAATTTACCTAAATATTCATCATAATTTAATCACGTGACACTTTGTGTCCCCAATACAGAAGTGTGAACGGTAGGCACAATTTGGAGTAGACACCTTGAACCTGACTATATAAAACTGCAATATCTTAGTTTTCATTGTGTGTCGCATAGACAGACATCTAATCATAGAGTAGGCAGAGACGAAATACCCGGATCAGGCAGAGACTATTGAAATATCCTTGTTAACAGTGTTACATTATATTTCTGGGCGACAAAAGGTTGACCACCGACTCTATCGTACCCAATGAGTCATAGCTACATCTCCTTAATCTGTCTGTTCCCACCCAACACAATCAACAATACAACGATAGCTTCAAACTTTACTTCTAATGCAATAACGGTTCAGGTCTTAACGGAATACGATCCTTGAAGACTAGTATCTTTTTATCTTCCTTTTAATTTATTCTTTTGGTATCGGGAATTTATAAATATATATATATATATAACACTAGATCATAAAGTATAAAAACCATGATGCTTTAATTCTAGATTTCGTTAAATTTTATTTCACCATTATTTTGTAACACAGTTGAGGTATTTTTTGACAAAATATTAATTTTTTTATATTATTTTCATCTTCAAATATATATTAAGATAACAGATCGATAATCAGCCTATAAGACCGCCTATCTCGCTATACTCTTAACATCGATAAACATCGGGTGTGACCTACTTACCTACAATGTAACGTGGTAGTTTTATGAATGGAATATCTTAACGGTTCTGAGATCACGGTGACTTGGTTTAATGTAATGAAAATTTCGTGTGTTTATTCAAATAATTGTATTTTTGTACGGGTACATAAATGTGAGGCTTTGTCAATATCTGTATAGGTGAATACACATCTGTCACGTGAGACGAATATCTGTGAATAATTACAGGTACTCACCATTTAGGATATTTTGACATTTGACTTTTCAAATATTTGAGAAGGTGTCCTTTTTTTCAAAAGATTTGTCAACTTTTTCACTTCGAAATAAAACAGTTCTAAAATTTGTTCAAAATGGTTTTCCTGCTTTATAATTAAACTATTGCTGTTTAATCAACAATTGTCTAAAAACACAGAACAATTACTATTTTTCACAGAGT